CAGGGCCCTAAGTCATGCACAGGAAGGACAGGCAAGGGGACCACCAGGCCCCACCCTCCCAGGACCCCACCGAGGCCCACCACACAGACGGGGCAAGGGGCCACCGAACCCGCCATGAGCTCCATCTGGGTGGAGGCCTCAGAAGAGCCCATGGCAGGCAGCAGCGCCCGGGCGGGGCCCCTGGCAGCCGCGCTCCGCGTCTGCACCATGTCTGCAGAGCTGCGCCTGCTGCTTTTGCTCGCTTTAGGTACCGCTCTGGGCAGCTACCTCGTGCCCGTCTTGTGCAAACGCTGGTGCAAAGGCTGGCGCGCCCTTACAGAGTGCGCCTGTTTGCACGCACTGCCCGTGTGTGGCTCGGGAGCTCGGCTCCCTGTTGGGCAAGCTAAAAGGGCTCCGGAGGGCTTCCCCTCCAGATCCGCCTCAGCTGCACTGTACCGTATGCCCCACTTACCTTAGGGGGAAATCAGCTATTGCTGCCCCCGCCGCTGTCTCCTCCACAGCTGCTGCCTTCACCGCCGAGGTAAGGTAGGTACACGTGTGGCATACATGCACCCTGCTCCCTCTGCTCCTGCTCCCCAACTGCCTCAGAATCAAATCAGGAGACCCTTTATTTTCTCCGAATCAAACTCAGACCCTCTGAATTGATTCGGAAAGATTCGACGAGTCAGATATAAACACAGCTTTAAATGTTTTTTCTACATGCCTCAATAAACCAGACACCTCGTGAATGCTGCGATGGTGGGGCAGATGGAGTGTTCCACAGGAGCATGGCGGGGGGGGGTGGTCCCCAGTGCACTTGGTAGCAGACCTGGAAGTGGACCAAAAGCACTTCTGGTCCACTTCCAGGTCCGCTGGGGAGCACACTGGGCTTCCCCCTACGCCCCCTGATTCGTTGACTGGTGCCTCCTGGGTCTGGGAGGGGCACTCTGGGTCCACCCGTGGCCGAGTCAGGGAGGCACGGGGGGCTTCTCCGTGCGCTCGGCAGTGGACCAGAAGTACCCTGGTTCATCATTACTTCTGGTCCCCTTCCAGGTTCACCACTGATTATGCGGGGGTTTCCTTCCTGCACTCCTCTGGGATGCTCCAGCCGCCCCAGCATCACAGTGTTCACGGGCCACGCCTGGTACCTCAAGGTATGCAGGAAAAGCATTTAAGCTGTGTCTATGTCCGAATCACTAATTCTCCAAATCAGCATCAAATCTTCAGATTCGAATTCAGCCGACAAATCTTTATATATTTATTTACACTGAGATTTACAAGCTGAACTCAGTGTTTGTATCCCCCAGTTACCCAGCTTGCCCTCCTGTGTACCAAGAGTCATCTGTTTTACTAGGCTTTGCCGAGTTCTCGGAATGGTAAAGGGCCATTTCTTTTGAGCATACAAAGCTGCCTTCTTTCCTGACTGCTGAACAAATCTAGATCTCAATTGGAAACATGCCCAAGTTGTGCAGGTGTACTCAGCCTTGCTAGGTGAAGGAACACAGAAAAGTTATGGCTGGGAGTTCTTCCAGGATGAGGAATCCTTGAGTGCCTGTTTAAGAAACAGACCCCAGGGGGCTCATTCCCCAAGCATTCCCTGCAGCCCTGACTTTTCATTTAGTGGTTGCCTCATTGTTGGTGTGAATGAGATCTAAATGGACTACCATGCTGGATTCATGTAGCCATCTATATTCCAAATATTAAAAACACATGCCTGGAAGAGGCCTTGTTAGGCCATCAAGTCCAGCTGCCAAGCAGACAACCATTTACCTAAGAAATCCACAAAATTTATTTTACCTATACTACTAGGCAGAATATCTGAAATATCATGAATGTCTAGTAACAAGGATGGTCAAACCATGTCACAAATGTCATAGGCAACTCTTGGTATGGCATGTGACATACCAGGGAGGGGACAGGCACCACAGTGGAAGGTAGGGCAGGAAGCAGAGCAGCAGAGCATTTGGGGGGGGAAAAGTGATTTGAGTGGCACTCAGGGAGGGTGTAGTACTAATTTGTAGCATGCCCGCCAAAAAGTTTGTTCCCTGCATTACCCTATAATGGGCGTCAACTGGGGGTACGTGTATCCGTCAGTATGCAGGGGCAGGCGGGGATAGTGTGTTGCCACGCCATGCTGCTGCCTCAGAGGAGCAGGGCCAGGGTGGGGCAAAAGCAAGGCCGCACAGAAGCTATGCTGCTGCCGCATGCCACAGCCCCCCTCTGTGTCCGGGCCGCTCACCATCCCCCAGCTCGTCATCCTGCCACTACCCCAGGGGTGCATTTACTAAAAAGGGGCTGCCAATTCAATTCCAAGGAGATTTGGCCCGGTTCAGCAGCCAAATCTCTGAATCCTGATCGAATCAGGAGACCCATTAAAAGGTCTGAATTCAATTGGAAGCCTCCAATTTGGAGAGATTCGGAGATTCGGAAGGCTTGCAGCAAACAAATTAAGAGGGAGGGGGATGGGGTGATATTCCATATATGGAAAAGGCTGAGAGGTGGGGAAGGACTGATCTGATAGTGACATCTGTAGCTGGCCAATGATTGTGATATTTCTCTTCCGGTATGGTCCACATGCTGGCAGGCTTGTGCGACCCAAGGGTGAAGAGGAGCATCTCCAGCAGCAAAAGCCTTGATCACCGGACAGAGGTGCTGGTGAACAGAGTCAGGGAGGCAGAAGGTCAGAGGCAGGGGGACGTGGAACAGGGGGATGCACTTTCCCATGCCAGCACTCCAACCAAGAGCCAATCTCCTCCACCACAGCCGCTGCCAGTGTGGGCCAAGGGGATGGCTTCAGTGCTGGGGTCCAGAGACACCAGACCCCACCATCAGGCAGGTAGTGTAGGGGCCTCAGTGGCTACCTATCTTGCCGAGGATGTGGAGCCACTGCACTGTGACCCATTGGCCTATTGGGCAACCCGCAGCCAGTAGTGTCAGGATCTGGCTACGGTTGCCCAGGAACACCTGTCCTGTCCACTGACCAGTGTTCCAAGCAAGAGTGTGTTCAGCATTGGTGGTGATGTTGCGACACCCCACCGGACCTCCCTGGATTCTGGTTCAGTGGAGCAGCTGGTGTTGCTGAAGGTGAACTTTCCACTACAGGGGTTCTCCAAGCTCCACATGCTGACGGAGTGAGTGCCACCTGCCTCACTCCATACCTATTTGCTTTTTTTATTTGCTTTCAGAACCTTGGGGTGCACTTTCACAGAAACCCCTGCACCTAGCTCCTTGAAACTTGGCAGGATTCATGCCTCAGAAGGGGCTACCATATCTGCTATTTTCATCCAAATCTGGAAAAGAATGACAAAGTTATAGGTATTTCACTGGTTCCCCATTATAGTCTATGGCCGAATCGAATCGGAACAGTGATTTGAATTGCTGTCCCTCTGAATTGGCCAAACCCGAAGTGAATACTTGCTGCTTTGCACAGACCTATTGAAAACCCCTGCCCTAAAATATGCCAGACATAAAAGGATACTGCAAGTATGTGTCAGCTGAACGGTGCAAATTCTGTTTTAAAGTGAAGACAAAAAAATTGTTTGGTCCTGAAAGGATGCTCTCCCATGTTCACCGTGGAGATGGCGGTTGTAAAATCCAATTTTAAGTGTAAGCATCTAATCCAAAGATCGAATGTTGATAAATACACAATATATTGTGCATCAGAATAAGTCTAGTATGATCTCTTATCTTCATAATGTAGGTGTACCTTTCAAATGGCCCTGTGTGGCACCACATTGTACAGCTTTCTGTTAGCATGATGCTTTGGAGTCTCTGCTACACGGACCACCTTGGTTTTGGAGGCTCTGACATAGAATAATCGCATTTTTGTTTTCCTATAAATTGTGTGTGGATGATTCTAATACCCCCTACCTCTTTTTTTTCTTTTTCTTAAAGGGTCAATATAAAAAGGCAATTGCCAGCCTCCATCATTTAGCAGCTCTTCAAGGATCTCACTCTCCGCAGCAGATTGCAGGACAGGGTTTGCTGGAACATCAGAGAGCCCTTATCCAGTTAGCTACTTGCCACTTTGCCCTTGGAGAATACAGAGTAAGTCCAAGATACTGTGCAGTGGGCCTTCTTACACCAGCTGCCAGGGGTTACTGTGGTGTTCTGTGGTTACCTGGTTCCAGCAAGAGCTCAGACCTGTGGCTATGTCTGGGCCAGGTACCTGTTGACAGGAGGAAGAGTGAAGTAGGCCCCCGACTCATGCCTGGAGCCATGTGTTCTTGTCAGTAGTGCTAGGATCCTCCAAAAATTTACGTGCAGATGAGGCACAGGGCAGCCTGGTTTGGATCTACCTCTTTTTCATCATGACATGAAAAAGAGTTGGTGATGAGGGGGACTGTGCTCAATGGGCATTATCATATATTTTATTTAGATGGCTGCACTAACCTATCTTTGTAGCAGGGGAAAACCACGACTATAGCAGGGGGTAGTACCCTGACCGAGGTCATGCGTAGTTAGGTCTCCCGCTTTCACTTCCAGTGAGAAGATCTCGGCTATATGCCAACTTTGTGGAAATTGGAGACTCCACTCCTGTGGCTCTACGGCTGAAGGCAAGCGAAACTCGGGGGCATCCAGACCCCAAGCCTCTGGGCTTGCACTTAGGATCCCCGCCAAAGGATTTGAAAGTATCTGAAGCCCCAGGCAGTGGTGGAGGATGCTTGCCAGCAGCAGGGCCACATTTGGTTCTTGAATGACTCGCACAGATTTGGAATTCATAGATTCATAGATGTTAGAGTCGGAAGGGACCTTAATAGATCATAGAGTCCGACCCCCTGCATAGGCAGGAAAGAGTGCTGGGTTCAGATGACCCCAGCCAGATGCTTATCTAACCTCCTCTTGAAGACCCCCAGGGTAGGGAAGAGCACACCACCCTTGGGAGCCCATTCCAGATTTTGGCCACTCTAACAGTGAAGAAGTTCTTCCTAATGTCCAGTCTAAATCTGCTCTCTGCTAGTTTATGGCCATTATTTCTTGTAACTCTCGGGGGCGCCTTAGTGAGTAGAGCCTTACCAATTCCCTTCTGTGCCCCCATGATGAATTTATAGGCAGCCACAAGGTCTTCTCTCAACCTTCTCTTGCGGAGGCTGAAGGGGTCCAGGTGTCCTAGT